CCATTGCTTTGAAAGCTGATTTACCATTAATAGCAGAGCAGGAAGCGGTGTGTTTCTCCTGACATGAATCATTGAAAATAAAAATGGCCAATGACCTTCCCTGGCAGCTGCAAACAGCATCCTAGGTAGAAAGAAATGGGATAGATTTAGAGCACTTTGCAAATACAGCACCTCTAGCAAGTCACATTATTCATTATCATCTCTTGACCAAACTATAAAGTAGGTTAGGAACAGATTAGCAAACTGGTATGATTACTTCTTCAGCAGACAGAAGCTGCCATAATGCCTCACAGTAATCATATTTTAGGAACTAAAGTTGGGCACAATAGATCAGTGCTTTGAAATGTATTAGATAATGCTTCATTGCAGTAAACGTATAGAGTAAAATAACTGGTTTGGAAGATCAGTCCAAGGGTAACCAACAACTAATGTGAGATTTTCTGACTGTTTTCAGACCTATTTTGTGCCTTTTTGGAGCTCAAGTGGGCTGCCGGGGAGAGACAAGTACCAGGAGACAAGTATACATTATATATGTAATGTATATAAAAAAAGTGCGCTATATCTCTAAAATATGATAAGTGTACTTATATAAAGTGTAACACAGTACAGTGAAAGTGCAATTTAAAGTGCACTATATTGTGCCATAAGTAGTATAATACATATAAATATTTCAAAGTGTAGTGTAAGTACAAACCAGTGCCCTTAGTGATAAATAACAAAGAAGAGCACTTACTCTATTGGCCTTGGAAAAGGAACTATTTAGTATACCTTCTCCGGTATAGGTAGTGCAAATCAGTACATAAAAGTAAAAAGAAACAATAATAGTGTAACTATGTGATATAACTGTATAAAAAAAGTAGAAGGATCAGGCAACTCACAAAAGGAGAGCAGTTCAAGTCTGCTCTAACTTGTACAGCTCAGATGTCCTGTGAACAGGACCTTGATCTGAAGACGCTACCCAGGTGAAACGCGTCAACATGCTACAAGACGCACGATACCAGTGCATGCCCATTCGAAGCTCGAGTTCCAGGAAGGATTCCCTACTGTGCTGATTACCCAAGGACCGCAAGTGCTAGACGCGAGTCGTTAGGGATTGAGGACACAGAAGAAGTACTCTAGAGATGGAAAAGAGATTGTTACTTCTTGTTTATATGTTATCATTAAAGGATACATTTCATCAAACTGCCGTCCAGCCTGTTACATTGAGGTCCTGTTCACAGGACATCTGAGCTGTACAAGTTAGAGCAGACTTGAACTGCTTTCCTTTTGTGAGTTGCCTGTATGGAGGCTATAAAATTGGCTTCCCTTTGTTTTTTCAGAGCGTGTGCCAGTAGACGGCCGCTTTTGCCCCCCTGGGTGTAGTAAAGGCTTTTTGTGAGGGCCAATTTGCGTTTGGATATTTAGGTGAATGTTGAGCTCAGTTCTCTTCTCTACCAGTGTCTTGTTTGTCTCTAAGGTTAAGTCAGTTTTGTGTGCAGCTTCTAGGTTCCTGATTTCCTGGATTTGTTAATCCCTCTGTTTCTAATGAGTGGTTTGAATTTGGATGAACGAACCCCTGATCGTACTCTTGTGTGCTTCCCATATGATTGGTTATGGGGAGTCAGGCTGTACATTAAGGGAGAAGTATTGTTCAAGGTCTGAGGTGATTAGAGTTTGTACCTTGGGGTAATTAAATAGCGAGTCATTTAGTTTCCACTGAGCCATTGTTGCGGGTAAGGAAGGAATTGTTATCGTCATGGCTAGGGGCGCATGGTCTGACCAAGTGATTGGTGCATACGTGCAGGAGGATATTAGGTTGAGGAATCTGTGGGGGAGGAAGAACATGTCTATCCTCGAGTAGGAGCCTGTTGAGTGGGAATAATAGGAATAGTCGCTTTGTGAGGGGTGGCATGTCCTCCAGCAATCATACAATTGGCGTGAGTCTAATGTGAGTCTAATAGTCGTTGAGTGTGTGTCCTTGTTGAAGAGTGGTATGAGTGGGCATTGGAAGTAGTGTCTGGTGTACTGCCTATGGAGATGTTAAATCCCCCCCCCCAACAAAACTAAGAGGCCTTCTGTGAAGGTTTCCAGCTTTTTTGAGTATCTTCCAGAGTGCTGGGAATTGTTTCTTATTGCGTAGATATACATTTGCAAAGGTAGTCATGGTGTACCCCACATTACCCTTTAGGAACAGGAATCGACCACTGTCATCTGCCCTATGGTCTTTATATGTAAAAGGGAGACGTGAGTTCAGTAGAATTGCTACTCCCCTGGTTTTTGACCTGGGGTAATTGCTGAAGTACAGTGCCTTGCAAAAGTATTCACCCCCTTGACTTGTTACCTATTTTGTTACATTACAGCCTTAAGTTAAATGTTTTATTAATCTGAATTTTATGTGATGGTTCAGAACACAATAGTCTAAGTTGGTGAAGTGAAATGAGAACAATATATACAAAAACCTATTTTTTAGAAATAGAAAACAGAAAATTGGCATGTGCGTATGTATTCACCCCCTTTGTTATGAAGCCTATAAAAACCTCTGGTGCAACCAATTACCTTCAGAAGTCACATAATTAGTGAAATGATGTCCACCTGTGTGTAATCTAAGTGTCACATGATCTGTAATTACATATACACACCTTTTTTGAAAGGCCCCAGAGGCTGCAACAACTAAGCAAGAGGCACCACTAATCAAACGCTGCCATGAAGACCAAGGAACTCTCCAAACAAGTAAGGGACAATGTTGTTGAGAAGTACAAGTCAGGTTTAGGTTATAAAAAAATATCCAAATCTTTGATGATCCCAAGGAGCACCATCAAATCTATCATAACCAAATGGAAAGAACATGGCACAACAGCAAACCTGCCAAGAGACAGCCGCCTACCAAAACTCACGGACCGGGCAAGGAGGGCATTTATCAGAGAGGCAGCACAGAGACCTAAGGTAACCCTGGAGGAGCTGCAGAGTTCCACAGCAGAGACTGGAGTATCTGTACATAGGACGACAATAAGTCGTACGCTCAATAAAGTTGGGCTTTATGGCAGAGTGGACAGAAGAAAGCCATTACTTTCAACAAAAAACAAAATAGCATATTTTGAGTTTGTGAAAAAGCATATGGGAGACTCTCAAAATGTATGGAGGAAGGTGTTCTGGTCTGATGATACTAAAATTTAACTTTTCGCCCATCAAAGAAAACGCTATGTCTGGCACAAACCCAACACATCACCCAAAGAACACCATCCCCACAGTGAAACATGGTGGTGGCAGCATCATGCTGTGGGGATGTTTTTCAGCAGCCGGGACTGGGAAACTGGTCAGAGTTGAGGGAAAAATGGATGGTGCTAAATATAGGGATATTCTTGAGCAAAACCTGTACCATTCTGTGCGTGATTTGAGGCTAGGATGGAGGTTCACCTTCCAGCAGAAAGCAACACTTGAATGGTTTAACGGGAAACATGTAAATGTGTTGGAATGGCCTAGTCAAAGCCCAGACCTCTATCCAATAGAAAATCTCTGGTCAGACTTAAAGATTGCTGTTCACAAGCGCAAACCATCCAACTTGAAGGAGCTGGAGCAGTTTTGCAAGAAGGAATGGACAAAAATCCCAGTGGTAAGATGTGGCAAGCTCATAGAGACTTATCCAAAGCGACCTGGAGCTGTAATTGCTGCAAAAGGTGGCTCTACAAAGTATTGACTTTAGGGGGGTGAGTAGTTATGCACATTGACATTTTCTGTTATTTTGTCCTATTTGTTGTTTGCTTCACAATAAAAAAAAAACATCTTCAAAGTTGTGGGCATGTTTTGTAAATTAAATGATGCAAATACTTAAACAATCCATGTTAATTCCAGGTTGTGAAGCAACAAAACACGAAAAATGCCAAGGCGGGTGAATACACTATAGCCGTTCGGGTAGTGTTTATTCCCAAGTGAGGGCGCAGAGTCTTTACGGAAGTGGGTTTCTTGTATAAACACCCCCTCCGCTTTTTGTGGTAGTTGCCAAGGGCTTTATGATGTTTTTCTGGAGTATTTAAGCCCTGGGCGTTATGGGAGATAATGGTGATAGACACCATCTGTGGTTCCTTGGTTTATGGAGGAATGGGATGGTATATAGGATAACACACAGTGCAAGTTACTCTGTATTGTCTCTTACTCTGTAAGACTTGGTGTTAGGCTTAGGATGTGGTGGAAATCAGAAACGAAAATAGAAAGAAATTTAGAACGATAACTATATACAACAGTCCTGAAGTGTGTCTTGGTGTGTAGTTAGTGTATGAACCCAAAAGAAGCAATACAGGCTGGTGTCGGCCTCTGTGGTGGTCCAGATGCCACAGAAGTCTTAATGAGGTGTGTGAGACACCTCCAATTCTATAGGGGTGTGGAGGGTGTAATAAGTTGTAGGCCAGCTTGCGTGGCTGTGGGATGTGTGCGTGGTATGTTAGCACAATGGAGCGTTGTGTTGTCACAGGAGATGTGGGGTTTATATGTAGTTGTTTGTGTGTATATGAAACGGTGGGTGTGCAGGCCCTTTTTGTATGTGTAATGGCATGGTTGTGGAGGCGATTAAGTATGTCTTAGTGGTGTGCCAGCAGGGTGCAGAGGTTAAGGGATAGGCCAAACCGGTAAGCTCTCTTTTTGAGCATTCCCGTCCCCTCATTGTTCCCCAAGACCGGACCTCGCGATCGAGTGCCACTGAATGATGTCCCACCCTGGTTGATAGTATTGATGGCATTGCCATAAGTCAGCACCCTGAATTTGCCCAAAAAAGTGATGTATGTACCCTGGGGTGGCATGCATCGTATATAGCAATACATTACTAATATTACATTTGTGGGTAGTGTAACAAACCACCTCTTTTACACGTAGGATTTTGTCACAGATTTTACAGTAACCACAGCCTTCTAGGGTATACAAAGTCCAGGACACCTAATGGGTGGGGGCGTGGCCGACAGCCGAGCTACATGGCAGCACATTGATTAAGCTGCACGGTGAAAAACCGCGAAAAACGGAGGTAATACACCATAATGGGGAACCACAAAAAGGCCCTACCGGCACCCCAACATGCTGGGAAGACCCCCGCAGGAAAAACGGGCACTGTCACCCGTTTATTCAGGGAATACTCCGACCGCGTGTCGGAGATCGGCGAAAGCAATATGGCGCCAGCTGCAGTAAATACTGACACAGACCCGCCGAGCCCCAGAGGATCGGAGGCCTCAAACACTTTGATGGAGGCCGACATTAAAGAAATACTACGGAACCTACCATCCAGAGCCGACCTAGCACAGATGCTGGGGAAGTTAGAAGCCACCTTCCAGCAAAAAATGGAGCGTCTCAGTGCAGACATAAACCAGGTAGGACGCAGAGTGCAGGACCTAGAAGATGAAAGGGGCTCCCACCAATACCTAATGCACTCCCTCTCAGCTAAAGTCCAAGCCCAAGAGAGGCACCTATCCATGCTACAGCGCTCTCTAGATGACTTAGATAACAGGGGCAGAAGGAATAACCTACGGGTAAGGGGAATGCCCAAACAAGACAGGGAAAATCTCTATACCATCCTGACTACCTCATTTAACCTAATACTCAACCGTAAACCAGAACATCGCTCGCTGAGACCCAAATCGGCTACAGGCGATACACCAAGAGATATTATTTGCCGTATTCATTATTATGCTCTAAAGGAAGATGTACTGAAACATCTCAGAGATACCTCAGCCCCCATGCTGTTTCAGGGACATGAGATACAGATATACCAGGATCTCTCCTGGCACACCCTGCAAGCAAGGAGGGCCCTACGGCCCATAACAGACCAGCTCCGCATGCGCAATCTGAGATACAGATGGGGCTATCCTTTTGCCCTCATAGTCAGCACCCGCGGAACCACGTTCACGATCTCCACGCATCAAGACATCATCCCCTTCACTAAAGCACTGAATCTAACAGAACCGAACATCATGGATTGGTACGCACCGGATCCAGCACTGACCGCACCATCAGCGCAGCAAAGACCACGATGGAGATCCCCGGCAAAGAAGCAGAGGTTAGCTCACGCTGGACATATATCGCAGGGGGACGGAGGACAGAACAACACCATAGAACACTAGAG